AGAAGCAATGTTAACCACTGCACGTGTGTATGTGGCAGGGTCTCTTCCACACCACTGACGTTTGGGGCCAGGTAATTCCTTACTGCAGGGGGCTGTCCTTTGTAGTGTAGGATGTGTAGCAGCACCCCTGGCCTCCACCCACTAGATGAAGTAGCACCCCGCCCCATCCAGTTGTGACAACCAAAGATGTCTCCAGACATTGCCAAATGTCCACGGGGTAAAATTGTTCCCAGTTGAGAACCAGTTGGTATATAGACAATTATAGTCATATGTCATTTTATGAACACTTATTTAATTTTAAACACCATTTTACAAATAAGGAAACGGAGACAGAGAGAGGCCAAGAAACTTTCTTAGGGTCTCACCGCCAGTTGAGGTATCTGACTTCAGAGCTCAGCTTCTTGCAGCCACGCTGCACGACCACATTCATTTGACTGGTTGGTTGAATGTATGGGGAGTTTTCAGGTTCATGTTTTCAGGTAAGAGTTGTGGTTCAGGAAGAACAGTGTTTATTTACTGTGGTCCAGCTGAATTCTGTGGTGTCTGAAACTGTCACAAGTGAGGCCACAGCCCCAAGGCTGGCTTGGTCCCCGAGATGACAGTGTGAGGCAGCCAGTCCAAAAGGCAGCATCGTGCAGAGCCACCAGATCCCCTGAGCAAGGCTGACTGCAACCTGCCAAGACCTAGAGGCAGCAGCACCTTGGCTGAACCACAGAGCGGCCTCTCCTACCTTCAAGGGGAAAGGTAGAGCAGCGGCGTGGGAATGGGGACATGAGGGACAGTGATGACTGGACCTGATTCTTTCTTGATTTCCCTCCCTTCTGGCCCTCTCCCCAAAGCCCAGTTACAGCCAGCTGAGTTGAGCCCCAGCACTACCCAGAGTGGCAGGCCGGGGTGGGGCTGCAGGCCGGTGCAGGGCTGGTGTGCCTGTTCACGATGCCTGGTGAGTTCCTCGACCTTTAGCCTGGTCACAGTGAAGCTGAATTTCCTGTTGGCTTATCTGCTTGGGGCACTGGACTACAAGCTCTGTGAGGGCAGAAGCGGTGTGGTTCCTGCATCTTTGGGGGCCTGTGCAGTGGCATCAAGTCTGGGTGGGTGCAGGATGGGGGAGGAAGGTGCAGGAGAGGAAGTCAGGATATGTGTGTTGGAAATGTGCCTGCCTTCCAGGTCCCTGCGCCCAAACCCATTTCCTAGACGTGCTCAAGGGCAGTCACCTGAGCAGCTTGTGACACTGGAGCCCAGCCAAGACGAAAGGAGGTGCTCAGCCTTGTTTCCCATAACCAGGCTCTGGCCTTTCCCTGGGCCTATGAACAAACCAGAGCTGGAAGGAGCTCTGAACTGCATGGAGCTCCCTGATTACCACTCATGGGACGAGAGAGGCACAGCTTAAAGAACTAGAGGTACAATCCTTGTTAAATAATTAAGGCTTAATTAATTCTTGGAAGGGAAACTTCTCACTGAGCAGTGTCTAAGAAATAGTTGCTGGTCAAGCGTCCCCTCCTCTGGCCCTGCAGGGGCTCTGCTGGCAGGAGCTTTTAGGTTGAACAAGCAACCCCTAATTGGCTGGGAGGTGCTGAGGGCCTCCTGCCTTCTGGTTGGAAGCACCGCACTTTTGTTGATCCCTCAGGAAGAGTTGACCAGGGTGCCCTTTGAAAGAGCTCTCTCTCTCTCTCTCTCTATCTCTCTCTCTCTCTTTTTGAGGGCACAGATCAGATCTTAAGATCTTAGTGGGAAAACCAGGCACCAATGACTCACTCCTTGAGAAGTCATCACACAGATGAGGTGATGGAGGCTGTGACTTGGCAAAATTTAGGGCTTCCTCTAAGTCGGCGGTTCTCAACTCTGTTTGACTCCCCTGGAGCACTTCTAAAGCCCAGGCCGTATCCAAGCCCATTAAGTCAGCATCTTTGGGAAAGGAGCCCTGGAATCAGTGTTTTTTTTTTTAAAGCTCCCAAGGTGATTCCAATACACAGAGTTGTGTGCCTCTGTTTTAAGTGAACTTTGGCAAAAAGGGGAACTTGGTGATAGAGGAATTTTGAGATTTCAGCCTGTATGTGTTTGGTGGTTGTGACTGAATTAAGAGCCCTATGTATGTGAGGCAGGAGAGATAAAATTACACCAGGGTTGGGAGACCTGTGGAGGGCCCAGCAACTCTGTCACCTGAACTGCGTGACGACTGCCTCACTCACCCTGTGGTCTGGGGCTACCCCACTTGGGAGTCTGCAGAGAAGCTGCTGATGGATGGCTTGTCACCTAACCAGCCTTTAAGGAACCGTCTTTCCTATTTCATGAGCATTTTCTAGACTCTTTACAGCCCCCAATTCAATTGTAAACTCAGAAATATTAAGATTGGCAAGCAACAGAGACAATCCGTAAGTAGTTCCTAACTCGGTAGATGCAAACCACCTAAGGGCCCCCAACATCTGATGAAAACAACCACAATGAGATCTCACCTCACCACACTCATTAGGATGGCTCCTATACATAATGTCTACATATTTATAAAAACAGGAAATGAGTACTGGCGTGGTGTATGAGTAAAAAATGAGTAAAAGGTGGGGGAGAAACCAGAAGCCTGAGCTTATGTGCTGATGGTGGGAATGTAAAACAGCACAGCCACCATGGAATACAGTATAGCAGCTCCTCAAAATGTTACAAGTAGGATCACCATATGATCCAGCAAGTCTACTTCTGGGTCTAAACCCAAAAGAATCAGAAGCAGGAACTTTTAGAGATATTTGTACACCTATGTTCATAGCAGCAGCATTCACAATAGCTAAAAGGTAGAGGCAACCTGTCTACATCGATGGATGGATAAACAAATTATGATACATACCGGGGGTGCCAAAAAAATGTATACAAGTGGACATGTTGGTCAACATTGTTCAAGCAGTTCGCCATAATCAGAAATGTCTGGACGCTGATGGTAACCACTTTGAGCACCTCTTGTATTTGCAGAAGCCAAACGTGACTTGTATTCGTCCTTTGTTATCAGTATACGTTGAGTATTACAATTTTAATTTTTTCCTTTCTTAAAATGTGTATACATTTTTTTGGTACCCTCTGTACTTACAGTGGAACATTATTCAGCCTTAAAAAGAAAATTCTGACATATGCTAATGGATGAGGACATCATATGAAGCAAAATAAGCCAATCATAAAAGGACAGACACTGTATGATTCTACTTATATAAGGTGGCAGTCTAATTCCGACCAGTAGAATGGCGGTTGCCAGGGGCTGGTGCGGGGGTAGGGATGGGGACTTACTCTCGAGTGGGTGGTTTCAGTTTTGCAAGATGAAGAGTTCTGTGGATGGGCGATGGTGATGGTTACAGGATATGACTACTTAATGCCACTAAACTGCACACTTAAAAATGGTTAAGATGATAAATTGTTATTATATGAAAATTAACAAACAAAAAAACCCCACAGGCTAGTCTGTGACGGGCCCACATGCGGGAGCCAACTCTTCCACAGAAAGTGGTTTATCAGAGTAATGGAAGGAACCTACATATATTTTGTACATGTACTTGGGGATAGGGGACAGTAGAGAAAAAGGAAAGTTCAAGTTCCAGATTGGGAATGGGACAAGGTGCTAAATCTATTCCTGTTTTCTTTCTGACTCAGACAGAAAATGTTTCAAAGACTCACAGGGGTACTTGTAGGAATGCTGGTAGTGTTTTGACGAGAATCCAGAAAGGCGAGATTAAAATACTTAACTGTTATAAGCAAGTAGGTAGGATGTTGACACATGAGAGGCTGAGAACGTCCAAGAACAGGGAATGGCTACGGCACCTCGGGGTTCTGAAAAAACTCACAGCTTCCATGAGGCCCGTGAGCCCCCCCACTCTCTCTCTAGTCCACTTGGATTAAAAAATGGTCATACAGCTTGACCCAGCCTCTGCATGCATTTTGGCTTGGACCAACTTGTCTCTTTCACAAAATCAAATGTACCCTCAGAGAAAGAGCATTTACAATACTGAGACTAGTTTAAAGAATACACCATCTTAAAAGCAAAGGAGGCCACCCCGCGAAGCTTCTGAACAAAGAGAACCACTGACGTGAGCGTGTAATCCCTTACAGGGAGCAAGGCGAGATTCCTGGTCCAAGTGAAAGCTCTGGTGTTTGCTTACAAATCAAGAGTAAGGTATATCCCGGGACAGAAACACGTATGAACAGGAAACACGTGGATGGATGGGGCGGGAAAAGCAGGGGGCCATCACCTCACTATTCACACAGGTCAGCGGTCTGGCTTCAGTGTGCAGTCATAGCCTGTCTGTATTCTGGGCTTGCTCCTTCACCTCTGTGCCCTCGGTGCCTGGGTGGGGCTGAGCTGTGACTTCTGTGCTTACGTCTGGCCTTGGAGCCATTGCAACCATCTGAATCTGTCCACTGAGTTACCTCCTCCAAGGACCTTCTCCACAATTCTAGTATAAATAGCCATCATCAACTAGTGAATCGGCCCTTCATCTCCAAGAACACACAGCTTCACCTGTGGTGCAGCGTCCCATGGTGACCCTACTTCCTGTGCACTTGGAAGCTGTCCATACTCCTCTGTACCCCAGCCCTGGTGAACCCTGTTTCTGCCAGGTTTTCCCCAGTGCGGGCATAGGAGGCCCAGGCTCGGCTCCGTCACATGCCTGGAGGGAGCAGTATGGTTACTCTCCCAAAGCAAGGCCTCCCTTCCCACTCCACACACACACACACACACACACACAGAGCTCTTTCCCACTGGCTTCTGCCCTCCTGGCCTCAGGGCCAGAAGCTAGAAGCTAGTTCTGGAAGGGGGATGCTGCAAGGGCAGGCAGGCGTCAGAGGAGGGTGGCGCTGTGGGAGCTGAGCTCTCCTCCCACGTCCTCTGCTAAGAAAAGGAAGAGGACCCAAGGTGTGACTGTGCTGAGGAACCCCAATCCTGAGCTCTCAAATCATAAATGCAGAAACCATAAACCAAGGGGGGGGGGGAAACCACCAAGTTAAAAATTTTTTCCCCTTCTAACCGCTAGTTTCAGTGATATTTATTACTCAGCCTGAGCTGGAATAACACTAGACAAAAATAGAAACAGCCTCTGGTTTTACAATGCCTTTGTACAAGTCCTCTGACTTTTCTGTTCATGCCAGGGCCCCTTGTTGTGGTGCCAGAGGTCAAGGAAGGCCGGACGACCTCGGGCAGAACAGGGCCTGCAGAGAGGGACATGGGCCTCAACGCTGGGCTCAAGGCAGAGCCAGGGAAAAACAGACAACAACTCGTTCAAACAGAAGCCTGGCTGGCGACTTGGGGTTTTATGTGTGGGGGTGAGCTGCGGGGGCCCTGGAGAGACCGGCCCCAGACTCAGGGCTGATATGGTCTCGAAGGACATGTGGCCACATGCCAGCAGGGCCAGGGCGCTGCCCCAGGCACAGAAGCTGGGTGGGTAGAGGTGTGTGCCACCCTGTGCTTGGCCCAGGGAGAGAGCCTGGGGTGGAGAGCCTTTGGGAACTGTGTCCCCAGGGGCAGCAGCAGCAGGAAGACCAGGCTGTGGGGCAGCAGCCTCCTTGTTCCTGCTCAAGTGCCCAGTCCCTGGCTGCTCACAGCAACAGGCCCTCACCTCCCTACCCTGCAGGGGCCGAGGATGTGCCTCTGTGGCCGCCGCAGCACAGGGGAAGGCCCTGTCCCCCCACCTCCCCCAGGGATTCGGGGCACTTGGTGAACCTTGTTTATGCCCTGAGATGACAGAGGGCAAAAGGGTGAGCAATGCAACCACTTCCCCAGTGCAGCTGGTCCAGCCCCAAGGCCAGCTGCTTTTTAGAACCCCCAAGTCACTGCTGCGCTCTGCATCGTCCCTTTGAACTGCCTGGGATTCTGGTCTCCTAGTCCTCTCGTGTGAAAGGCAGGTCAGGCCAGGCTAGGCCCTCAATCGGGTCCTCTGGGCCCTCCTCCAGGCCAGGCCAGGCAGACGGTGCTGTGGTAGCCACTATCTCAGGGGCTGCTTGAGGTCGAACAGGCCTGTCCCACCCCTGACGACCTTCCCAACCACGAGGCAGGCTGAAGGCGACCTCAGCTCGTCATGGGATCCTGGGAGAGACACGGAGCACTTGTTAGGTGGTTGAGGGAGACGTTGGGGGTGATGTGAGGGGATGGGGGTCTCGACACTGAGGCTGGGCGATGGGCACCGTGGAGGCCGCGAGGAGCAGTCCAGAGTCTCAGAGGCCGACTAGGCTACATGAGGCAGCGCTGCTTCTGCATCTGAGAGAGGAAGGCCCTCTTCCCTTTCCTTAAAAATGCAGAAGCGCTTTCCCGTCTGTTGTCCACCCCTTCCCAGCTGCTTCCTACAGCAAGCTTCCAAGATCTCCCTCGCATGGAAGGTGGTGCCTGAGGAACAAGCCTATTTGCCCAAAGCAGATTCAGGAGACAGGCCAAAGACACCTGCTTGCCCACTCACCCATCATGGTGGCCTGCTTCAGGAACTGGAAGCTGGTTTCAAATGTCATCTGCTGCAGAGGGGACGAGTTTGACTGGATCCCAAAGCGGTTCAGCGGCTTGTAAACACCCTCGAAGCACATGTAGTCGGCGACCAGGGAGAGATGGCGGGGATCGACTGCAATGCCTGTCACATGGGCATCAACATCAGAAGGATTAAACAGTGACAAGGGGACAGCTGGGGTAGCATCACCTCCTGACTAAGTCAGCGCACGGGCTCCGGGGTCAGGCCGCAGCCCCATCACTGATTCACCTAACTGCTTAACCCCTAGCCTCGGCCAGGCAGTCCCTCCCTTCCCGCTGGTCTCTACTGTACATGCCACACTCTGCTTCCACCCAGCATCACAGGAAACACAGATGTCAGGCTGGCAGAACATGAGAACCTAACAGCATGGTTTCCACTTGGGAACTGAAAACCTGAAGCAGTATGGGGCCAAGGTATCCAACTGGAGGTTCCTCAGAGGCCAGAGGACAAGAAACAAGGGGAGGCTCTCGGTGATGGGACTCACCACACAAGAAGGAAACACAAGTTACCCTGGAGGCCTGAAGTTACCCCTCCTCCACGGTCATTCTCAGGGTCTCCCACAGGCCACAGGCTCACTACGCCATACTTCACTTCTGCGGTGCTGGACTGACACTGGAATCTCCCGACTGCTGTGCGCAGTGCCTCTTACCGTACACGGCAAACACGTCCTTGATCTCCCTCTCGATCACCCGCAGCGCGGCCTCGATGCCGTACGTGCTGGCCATCGCATGGATATCGTTGGAATAGAGGCGGCGCAAATCCAGAATCTGGGAGGAAGGAGGCATGGATTTGGAGGGCCTGGCCTTCTGCTCCCTTCCGCAGGCATGTCCCACCCAGGCCACGCTCTGTCCTTGTCTGGCAGTGGAGCACAACTGATGACAAAGTGTGCTCAAGGTAGCCCAGGATTATGGAAAGGAAACTGTAAGCAGAGCTGCTGACAGGATGCCCACAAGGCCCCGAGGTCTGTCTCCTCATAACCAGAGCTGACAGGTAACTCGGTACCCACTTTGGAGTCAACAGGAAGAATGGTATTTTTTGTTGTTGTTGTTGTTGACTTAACAGGAAGGAAGACCTATTTCCTAGGATCACGGCTTCCCCTTGGTTGGTTGCAGAGGTACAAACATGGGCACATGGAGCAGGGATGGGTCAGCTCCATGGGGTCCAGTTCAGCCATCCTGGAGGCCCTAGGTGGCTCCCTGCTATGGCAGGTCACCTCCACAGGAGACCTCAGAGATGCTGGTGGCTTGTCTGGCGTAGTTTAAACACACCCCATAAGTGCGACACAGAGCTCGCCCTGCAGTGGCTCTCAGGAAGTACGAGCCTTCTCTCTTTGACTTTGGAGAATTTGGTGAAAGGCTCCAAGGAAAAAGGGGTGTGTGTGGGGCAGCTGTTGTGGGGGGAGAAGTTTGGAGGTGGGAGAGCTTTGAAGGCTTGGTGTACACTAGAGGAGAGTGGGCTGGAGGGGTCCCGGCTCCTCGGTATTCTGTGGGGGAAAACATTTGTTGTGCACAGGGACTGAGGGATCTCAGAAGTCTGGGGGACTCGGCGAGGTGGGAGGGACCAGGAGAGAGCTCAGAGGAGAGGTCAGACGTGCTGGTGGAGCAGGAGCGCAGGCGCCTCTGCCAGTGCTGGGCATCGAGGGGGGTGGGGGGGGGACACACCTCTATGCCCAGGGCCTCCATTACCAGATAAAGTAAGCAGCTCCCAGGCCAGCAATTCAGCAAATTATTTCTTACAACTATACTTTAGGAAGGTTTCAACTTCCAAGGAAAAGCAACTGTATTCAGATTAGTTTGGGACACTCTGGGTTAGGTCAAGTCAAGCAGGTTTCTGGATTGCAAATCTTAACTAGGCTCATGTGCATTGTAGATCCCCAAGTGGTAAGCCAGGTCATGCAAACCGGGTGTGTGGACACTGGGCTGAGAAAGCGCCAGTGGGAAAGTGGCTGAAGCCTCGCCTCCGAGTGGCCCGAGGCTGAGACAGCGTGAGGACGTGTGCCAGGCCAGCAGACAACCTGGAGAGGGACACGCACCTCGGCATACTTGAATAGCTCTGGCAGGTTGATTCCTTCTGTGTTTAAGACAAGCTCCTTCTCGTTCCTGTTGGTGGTGGTTTCATTCAGGAGGCACCTCGTGATGCCCTTGGTTGCGTAGATGACAGCAGTGTGAGCCAAAGACACCACCAGGGAGCTCATGTCACAGTTAATCTTCATCAGAGGGAGCTTCACTGTCACCTGCAAGAGGAGAACGAGCTGGGCCAGGGGACATGGCCGCCCCCAGCCCCGCCGAGGGGGCAGAGGCCACGCTGACCAGGTCCCCCGGGACACTCCTCCAAAGCCCTCCTAGGAAACATCCTTGGCTGGGGACAGGGGGCCCCGCTGGGGCGAGCTGGGGCAGTGTGTCTGCACACGCAAACACTGGGTAGCTTAACCAACTACACACAGCAGCCATCTCCAGTCACTCAGACTTAGGCGAAAACAGTGGAGTGACACTGTCACAGAGGTCAGTGAGAATGAGGAAAATCGTATTGCTCAACATTGCCCTGATATCCTTTCAGTTACCACAAAGCATAACACACACTGTCTCGTGTGTGTAATCCTTGTCAATGACTCATCTACACCAGCATTTGGGAGCCACTGAACCGGATCAAAGGAGAGGAAGGAAAAGTCACTCTGTGTGTAGATGTGTAGGCATCCGAACCACCCAGCCTGTGAGGGAACTACGCCATCCTGAAGGTGGAGACCAGGGGCCACCCGTGTAAGGAACGAGGTATTCCTGCTGCCTCTACAACCACTCTGACATGTGCTAACAATCTGTTGTACTGAGGACTGAATGAGGTGACACGTTATGAAAGTACCCACAGGCCTGGCAGATCAGACCCCACGCACAATGTTCTTGAAAATACCAGAGAGGTGGTCCCCTGCGGGCCTGAAAGTCAAGTGTGTGAGGCCATGATTTGGGGCAGAGGGTTCACAGCTGCCACCAGATTCTGAATTTAAAGGATGTGGGATTAAAAAGAGAGCAACCAACTGTCACAGGCCCCGAATGCCACGCCACCGGTGGGCAGGAGGTGCCGAGCAACACGCCCCACCCACTCGCTGCCCGGCCCCGCAGTGGTGCCGACAGCACTGACCTGGCACCACAGGCTCTCCTCGGTGTCATACTGGTAGTCCTCGATGAACGGGTGGGAGTCACGCACGGCCTGCACCCGGCGCTCCACGGCCTCGGCTCCCTGGGGCTCCTGGCTGCAGCTGGGTTTCCGGGACTGTCTCGGGGGTGCGATGGGGGGCGAGTCCTCCTCGGGGCCCGCGCCCACGTCTTCATCCTGCTCCTGAGCCCTGGGAGCGCCTTCCGCAGGGACACTTCCTTCCTCCTGCGCATCCTCCTCGTCGTTGTCGTCCCCCGCCTTCTCCTCCTCTTCCTCACTCTCATAGTCGACCTGGCAGGGGACGGAGGGCAGGCCGTGTCACTGGGGTCTCACCACCCGCCCAGATGCCTGCTCCACGTGGCCCGGGCTGCCCGCCTCTGCCCTCCCGCCAGTCCTTCCCCTAGGAATGCCGCCTGCAGGCTCCATGCTCCCTCCTCACCCTCACCTTAGGCTCTCTCCTGTGTATTCCCTCAGCCCCTCAAACCTGCCCTTTGGTCCTTGCAGCCACCATGACAGTAGGGGACTGGTTTGGGGGAGGGGAGGGAGGTATTATGTTTCATTGTAACAATAGGAGGAAGCCTGACTTTGTCTCCTTGCCAAAGGCCTCTGGTCCTTGAAGCTGATTCAAATCCAGGGACAGCCAGACCCGAAGGGCAGCCCTGGGCTGGCCCCTGCCAGTGCCTGCCCGGTGAACACCATCTTCTCAGCTGAGAGGTGTGCTGGGCAGGCAGGTCTTGCTTCAAGGTTCCCGCCGGGTGCCAGCAAGATGCAAAGGTGTGGCCTGATGCATCAGGGGATGGCCCCTGAGGTGTGGCGGAGCAGCGGGCAGGTGAGCACAGGCCTGCACCCCAGCAGCCCCTCACCTCCTCCTCCTGCTGCTCCTTGCGTTTGACGTCAGAGGCATCAGCATCTCCCTCCTCAGCTTCGGCGTCCACGACATGCCCCTCCTCTTCCTCATCGCCTTCCCGCCCTTCCTGCTGTGTGAGGACGGAGGAAAAAGACGCGCTCCAATACCTGTGCCTGGCGCATCCATCTGTCCACCCACCCACCTGGCCACTCATCCATGTACCCACCCTTCCACCCACTTACCGTCTACCCACCCTCCCAAACCAATGCATCCCCCAACATCTACTCTGTGCTCGTACTGGGTTCCACGCCTCCTTCTCTTCAGTCTTCATCTTTACATGTACCACTTGCAAAATCTTGCACTTAAAAATTTTTTTCAAGGAAGTACCAAGGCTTTCCAAGTCATTAAAAGAAGATGGTGCAAAATATTGTTCCAAATATTTTTGTTGTAGGTGGAGACGAAAAGCAAAGGTTGTCTTGGTGGGTATCGAGTATTTTAAAAACCAGATATATACCTTTTTCCTTCTGACCTTGGCTCTTAGTTTCTTGGTCTCCTTCTTGGTGATTTAAAAATAAGGACTGGGCAGCCTTTTAAAGGCAGCCCATCTGTGCTTGAGTGAGCCAACTGTTACACGTCCATGGCAGGAGACCCAGAATTTTCTCTGGTCTAGACCAGTTCCTCATTTTATGAATAAGGAAACAGGCCCGGAGAGAGAAGGTAACACAGCTGAGATCACCGAAGGGGCAGGGACAGTACCCGTCTTTGCTACAACCCCACTTGAGCAGGCTCCACACAATGGGCACAGCCTACTGCTGCGCAGCTCAGCGACACTCAGGGACCTGCCCCCGCATGGCCCCAGGTTTCCTGGCAAATGAGGTGTTATCATTCCTGGACTATTTTGCCTCCAATGGCTTTTCCCTGGCTCCTCTTTTTTCATCACTAAAGCCCAACTTCCCTGCTTCAAAATGCCTCTCTGGTCCCTGCCAGTACTCCATGGGCCTCAGTTCATTTGGCCTAGGTAAGTCAAAGGCAGAGCAAAACGAAACTGAAAAAGAACTTCCAAAAGCCAGCCCAGAAGGTACCATTACTTTGAGTCTACCCTCAGGATAAAAAAATCACTTACAGAGGGGTCCTTAAGAGCAGACAGATGGATGACCTGGGGCCCTGCCCAGGGCCAACCAGACCATGCTGACTCCCGTGTGGCCTCCACACCCGAGAAGTCAATGTTGCTTCTCAGCTCTGCACAGCAGATAAATGCTAAGGTAAGTGGAGAGACGGGCCAACACCAGGAGGGGGCTGAGGAGCGCTGAGAACAGTCACAGAGCCTTCTCAGGAGAGAAGGCTGAACAAGCCACCACCCCACGTGCTTTCCAGCCCTGGGACCCTACCTGTGTCAGTCCCCAAGGGCCCGTGGGGAACTCACTTACCTGATTCCTCTCCGACTCTCCAGTGTTGTCTACATCCCGTTGGGTAGCTCTTCGAGTGTTCACGCTTCTGAAGGCTGATGCTTTGTTATTCTTCTTTCTGATGGCTTCCATCAGAATTTTAAAGAATCTAAAACGAGAAGAAAGCCATGCAGACCTGTTCAGTACCAGTATCCCCATTCTCCCCTCGCTGCAGGGGCGGGATGCTGTGTCCAAGGATCTCATACCCACCTAGGCTGATGCTGGGATTTATACCTGAGATGAGACCTGGCCTCTTCTATCACCTCACTTTCCCCCCCCCCTCTTGCTGTTTCTGAATGGCTTATGGCAGTCAGAAGGAACAGCACTTGGCAGGCCTGGTCTGATACGTGCCCTGCCACTCCTAAGGAGTGTGACTTTAAGCATAAGTCTCCAGAGCTTTAATTTCCTCACCTGTAAAATGTGGCTATTAGTATGTATCACGCAATCTTTTTTAAGGATTGGAAATCACGCTATGTTTGATATCTGTCACAGGGCCTGGCAGAGTGGGTGCTCAGTAAACAACAGTTGTTGGTGCAACTGTGGGTGTCGTCTAGCAAGGATGGCAGAATGTACAGTAGGAGGGGAGTCCAGCCAGGACTAGGACCTTCCCCCTGCCTGCAGCACCTCCAGGAAGAAGCACCACTCTGGCCTGACCACTCCTGTTTCCTTGGTGTGGGAGCCACTGACAATTTGATGAAAAAACTAAGATGTGAAAATGCTCATTAGAATTTCAAAGGCAGTGATAACTTACTTTGTGGCAATAAATCATGTCAACAGATTAGAACCAAACCAATTTAAAAAAACAATTTTAAGGAACGCCCCCGGGGCCCTTCTCGGCCCCTGGGCCCTTCCTTTCCGAGTAACTAATTTTTTTTTTCCTTTGGGGCCTCACCCACCCCCGCACTCCCTGCTTTTTTGTTCATATAATCTCTTGCCTGTCTTCTTCATCAGGCCATAACAGCATACCAAAATGGACTGCTTTTAATTATGCCAAGTATAAGGTCCCTCTCACGTCCAGCCAGCCATCCTGTATTCTCTGAGTGCCTCTAAGGTGCCCGACATGTGGCCTGGGCCAAAGCAAGGATGAAAAACAAGAGCTGAGAGTATTAATTTTAGAAGCAGGCAGATCAAATGTTTACTATTTTGCTCATAAAAAAAAACAAAAAAAACTGCCACTCTTCCTCCTCATTATTTTTTAACTTTTAAAAGTTAAAAAAGTACATGGTTTTGCCAAGGGCAGGAAAAAGGCTCCTCACCCACTAATCTGGGGAAGAGTTTGGTCACTAGGCACTGGGGCCAGGGATGAGACGGCCAGATTGGGGGTGGGGGGAGGCCAGGCTTGACTTTAGAAAGATGCATTCTAACTGGGAAGGAGAAGCGGAAGAGATGTTTCTGAAAGGTCAGGTTCTGGTTCAAGTCCCCGTTCAACTAAAGGCCTGGCTCAAATCTGTACAGTGGGACCATGCCCACCTCATGCCTGAGCCTACTGCACAGAGTGGAGGAGATGAAAAGAAATGGACGGGGGTGCGGAAGCACTTAGCCTGCGGCTGGATGTAGGAGCTCTTCATTACTTCCCTCTGCTGTGGGGCTGCTGCTCTGAATTATCAGGTTCTCCTGGCTGGTCACTCTGTGGTGATGTCACCCATCTGAGGCTCCTTCCCCCAGCAGTGAGTCCCCCACGACTGTCCTCAACCCCAATTACACATCTGCTCCCACCCACCCCTGTGCATTGTTTGGGCTCATGCTCAAGCCATTGCTCTGCCAGCAATTTCCCCAGCCCTTTACCCAATACTGGAGGTGCGCCCACCCCCGCAAGGCTGGGTCTCTGTGCAGATGTAATTCCCCCAAGAGACCCTCCCTAATCTCCCCAGTTAGGAATACTTTCTACCTTGCCTGCCTCTTTCGGTGAGCAGGACAAAATGGACTGGCGGACAAAATGGGAGAAGTTGACCAGTAAGTGGTGGAAATGTCACCAGTGTGCGAGAGTTCTGGAGGTGCAAACAGTTTGCCCTTCTGTGACTTTTCCAAGAGCAAGGGAACTGCACGCCCACAGCGAATGTGCAGTTAAGGTTTTGCTATTTGTCAGAAAGTGGCAACTGAAAGGGACCAGAAGGGGTAGGCTGCAGAGAAACCTCCCATCCCGCATAAATAATTACAAACAGAGAATATGACCCTTGGTTGTTTCCGAAAGTGCCTGGCAACAGCTCCACCATTTGCTGTTTTCAAGGTCAGACTCACAGAAGCCGTAACTGCAGACTGCCCATTCGGTCATCTCATGGCTGGCGAGGGGCAGGAGGCCAGAACTTAAACCCCGACTCCTAGCTCAGTGCTCTTTCTACTTCACCCCCACCACCCACCAGCCCACCTTCTGGATAATTTACACAAATATCCAAAGTGACAGGCGACAGTACAAATATCTAAGGGGCTTCCAATGCTTCTATGTCTCCATCTGGGAAAGTGCCACTATGTGTCTATTTTTTTGGTTGTTGTTGTTGTCTTCTATCTGTGTCAAAATAGTCTCATGAACCCTTGTGCACTGTTGGTGGAAATGTAAAATGGTATAGCCACCATGGAAAATAATATGGAGGTTTGACAAAAAATTAAAAATAGAACTACCATACAATTCAGCAATTTCACAACTGGGCATCTATCTGAAGAAGTCCAAAGCACTAATTCGAAAATATATCTGCACCCCTATGTTCACTACAGCGTTATTTGCAACAGCCAAGATACGGAAACAACCTGAGTGTCCACTGACAGATGAATGGATAAAGAAAATATGGTATATACACAATGGAATACTACTCAGCCATAAAAAGAATGGAATCTTGCCATCTGCGACAACACGGATGTGGATGGACCTAGAGGGTATTATGCTAAGTGAATTAAGTCACACAGAGAAAGGCAAATACTGTATGATTTCATTTATATGTGGAATCTAAAAAACAAAACCAAACAAAACCCAGACTCACAGATATAGAGAACAGATGGGTGGTTGCCAGAGGAGAGGAGAGTTGTGGGGGTGAAATGGGAGAAGGGGGTTAAGAAGTTCAAATTTCCAGGTATAAAACAAATAAGTCACAGGGATGTAATGTATAGCCTGGGGAATACAGTCAAAACTATTGTATTAGCTTTGTAAGGTGACAGGTGGTAACTAGACTTATTGTGGTGACCACTTCACAGTGTACACAAGTGTTGAGTCACTATGTTGTACACCTGAAACAAATATAATATTACTGTACGTCAATTATAACTGAATTAAAAAAAAAGGTTTCAGATTCCACCACCGGGAAGGGAAAAAGGAAAAAAGGAGAGGAAAGAGAAAAACGGGTGGGAGGGAAAGAAGGGAGGCGGGAAGGGGAGGGAGAAAGGGAAGAGAAAAGGCTTCTTATGGGGGTTGTTCCTCTTCTGAAAGCACACTCACATTTCCTGTGGTCTGTAAGAGGCCTTCATGTGGCTGCTTGGCTTCTCAGGCCTCACAAAGGTGGTCCAAACCACACCCCAGGCCCGTGCTGCGGCTTCTCATCTTTAGCTCACGCTACTGAAGTCACAGCTTTGTTTCTGTTGTGCTAATGCACACAGCTTTGTTTACCACAGCTTTTCAAGTGCAGGAGCAAAATACAGCCCAGGAGTTGAAAAAAACATTTCACTGCTGGGAAGAAGCCAGGGCTGTCCCTCATCCAGAAGAAATTTTTAAGAAGTGACGGACTGTCAGCTCTCCCAAGATTAAGTACAAAGAACTCTATGCACAGCCTCATGCAGACCCACCTGCTCGGCAGGCCTCAGGTGACTAGAAATGGGGCAGTTCATCCAATTCCACCTGCTCTTGGTAATTCTCAAGAGGCCGTGTGATCCTAATTCCCATTTCTCAGAAAAGGGCTGCCTGGCCGGCACAAATATGCGGGGCCCTTGGGAGTTACGTTCCTCCCCGTTAATTAATGAGCCGGCAGGCTGCTGCACAACGGGTCTCCTGTGACCTGGCCCAGCGCCACGAGAGCACGGGGCCCGCCTGAGAACCAACCTTCTTTACCCAGGCGCACAGTGATACAGGTGTTCCCCGAGGCCTGGCAGCAACGACTTCACACCGGGTTCACACAAACCAGGACAGGACCTGCCTGGTCAGTGACCCCCGTCCAAAGGGCTGAGCTCACATCCAAGCTCATCTACAGCAATACCCACCATCCTAGCCGCCACCTGCTCAGAGGGCCAGCTTGAAGCCAGCTCATCTTCAGGTGCGGGGAAGGAAGGTCCGTGGCAGGGCAGGCACCCTCTCCCCATCACGCTGCCTCGTGACCTGAGTGCGCGTCCCTCAGTAAAGGTTTGGGAAACAACTGAACACAGTGGCCCTTCTGCCTCTACTCTACCGTTGGTGCTCTATTTCTGAGCAGCTCCAGGAAGACCTGACAGCTGGTCCAGGGTTAGAGGTCGTGGTCGGTGGCCGGTGGCCAAGTCCTGCCGACACATGGGATCTATTTGGGTCTTACCAGGCTGTTAAAAAGATACGAATTAGTTGAGGATGTTTTAAAAATTAGGAGGCTTCTTATTTATAAAAGCAAAAGCCAAGTAACCAAACAACCAAAGGCAGAAAAAAGAAGGGGGGCGTGGGCATGTTTCTTTTTTTTTTTGACTCAGAAGATCTGGCCCACATTTCCGGCCCCTGGAGGCAGGTTCTGCACACTCAGGTCTGCTGGGGGCCTCCCAACCCGCTTCACTGGGCTGTTATCTGCCCAGCCTGAAGCCATTCGAGTTTGCACTCCACAGCCTGGGGTCAGCTGGCAAGTCAGAAGTGCTTTGTTGACTCTTCCTGGCTCACCCGACCCTAATATGCCCTCTTCTACTCAACCTTCTGGCCTGTGCTTTTCAAATGTCTAACAGTGACTTGAACTTGAGAGAAAAAGGATGTTCATTCTCCCAATCAGAAGGGAACCTGAGTTTCTCCATAAGAAGCTAGAGGTAACCCCCACTTTAGACCTGGGGTTTAAAAGCAGCAGGCTAATGGCATACTGTTCATTATTAACAGCATATAAATGTATCAGGAACCACATTATGCTGCCTGGAATCACATCATATCAAACATTACCACCACATGCTGGTCTGACATTACAGCAGTACTGCTGCAATGGGGCTCAATTCTCTTTACGGTACACATACTTCCACATTTTAAAACCTACAAACCCAAGAAGACTCATCACCCAGAGAACAGGGTTTAGGAAGTGGTGTGTGTGGTGAGTGTAGTCACACACACAAACCAATGGTGGGATGAGGTTTCCAGATGAGGCTGCAGATCCTGCTGTTTTCCTAAGCACTTCCTGTGAAGAACTATTTTCAGCAAATGCACCCCAATCTCCGGGACTGCTACAGCCAAGGAGGGTTCAAGAGCAGCGACAAACATGGCGTTGAGTCCTGACCTTGTTTCCATGAAGTGCAGGATGTCCTCAGGTTTCAGGAACTTCTCTTGCTGATAATATGCATGTGGCAGAAACTGAAACCGCAGCTGGTACACCCGAAACTTGTTCTGTTTTACTCCCATACTGAAGGACTCCTGGACATCAATTTTGTGCAACACCTAGAACCAGGTAGAGAGAGAGCCCAACTTGCCCTGGTATCACGGGACTGAGCAACACAGGTGGGTTATGGGAAACCCACGGGCTTTGGGGGACAGGGGCTGGAACCACTGGCTAAAACCCCAAAGAAACTCCAGTGAGCTCTGCTGGTGTGGACTCTCTGGTGGCAGGGGACCCCACAGCCTGCAGGTCATCCCCAGAGTGGCCCAAGGCTGCGGAGAGTGGGCTCCAGCAGGACTGGTACGCTAATCCAGGAAGTCTCTATTTTTAAGGCACATGAGACCACTGCAGAACTAATGATTACTTTTCAATCTTCCTGACCCATCCCTGCTCAGCACTTGGCAGAGAAAGCTTCCCTCTCACTGACGGGGGTCTGAGCCCAGAGTCTGAAGTCAGCAAAGCTGTTCTTCATGGATGGGAGGGTGCAGGAAAATGCCTGGCCCACAGCGGTTCAGAGACAATTACCTCCCCTAAGCACACCCTGGTGAGCCGCCTCTTCAGGCTTTTCACTCGCTTCAGTGCTTTCTTGGTGTTGAGCACGGGCACACTCATCGTGGGTGTCTTGATGTTGGCGCTGGCCACCATGAGAATCTCCCTCAACCTGTCATAGAACGAGGACACATCTGATCAGAAGAGGCACCCAGCTTCCCTATTTGTGTGAGGCCTTTCTTATCAGAGTTCTCCGGGATCTGAGAGAGACCTGGGGATCTAAGCTGAATCACAGAGCCCCCTCCCCCCGCCCCTCCTGCTCTGGCCCGTCAGTTTCCTCTATTGGAACATAGCTTCTCAACAACGGGACTCTTATTCTTGTTTCCTGTTACCTGTGATTTGCACACAGTGGGTGCTTACTAAGAGCTTGTTGAATGAATGTGAGACATGGGAACGGTAACTAGTGTCTGCAGGCGCTCCTACTGGGTGCAGCACTGTGCTCCAGGCCTTGCTCATGAGCTCAGTCAGCCTGCACAGCCTGACTGCCCAGTGTGGTACCCACAATCCCCCATGGTCCTTTGTTCCACAGGTGATGACCCTGAGGTGGAAGAAGCTGAGGAACCTGTCTGAGTCACTGCTAGACAGTGACTGGGCCAGGCATCAAATGCAGGTGGTTCTGACCCCCGTTCTTTTCTCTTGCCCACTGGCTATCATCCTGTATATAGGATGCAGACATTTACCTGAAAGGCTAGGGCCACTTGGGTCATATTCTAGGTGAAATGGTGCCCCGGAGCTGGGCATGCAGGTGGCCTGCATGGAGCTTATTAACATCTTCCTGAGTCCTAACCCCAGGAGTGTGCAGATTTACAAGCATCCCAGGTAACTCTGATACAGAAATTGCAGAGGGATAAATGGGGATTCTAAGACGTCTGGGCACTAACCCAGCCATAGAAACGGCACAGAAACGCCAGGTTCCGGAAATTCCAACCATGATCCCCACTTTGATAAGACCCTGTCTCTCAGTCATGCACACACTCTAATCAAATGACTTCTTCCCCAGGAGTGGGTTAGGACAGACCCCACCCCATGCACCCTTGTAGCCCACCTCGGAATGCCCAGGGTGACGTTCATCTCGCCTCTGCCGGCAAAGTGGAAGGTGTTCAGGGTCATCTGTGTGGAGGGCTCCCCGATGCTCTGGGCAGCCAGCAGGCCCACCGCCTCACCTGGCTCACACAGTGAGCGCTGCCACTTCAGCTGCAGCAGGGTCCTGAGACTGGAGGTGGGCAGGGGACAGCAGGGTTAGGAGCACAGGCACCACCCACCTGTCTGTTAGGAGGTGTCCACACCCCCTATTCCCTCCCCCTCTTTCTGGTCTGGTTTTTCCTGACAAATGATCCTTTTAATCCTCAAATTCCTGCTAGTGGTCCTGAATGTCCTAAATACAGCACAGGTCCCAGCTGTGTGGCTAAAGCTCTAGATGTTCATGATCAGACTGTCCACGCTCTCTCTGAGAACGTCATGTATCCACTCTGTGCCAGTTTCAAGTCCCCTAAGCAGTGAGAATGTCTGAGCTCACTATTTACAGTTTCTTTGTTAATTCTTTTTCCCCACTAGCTGTGACAGTTTGGAGAGGGCTTCTGCGGTACAAACTAGGAAGAGGTTCACTAAGCAGTTATGAGGATGCGGGGGGGGGGGGGGGGGGGGGAGGCAAGGGGGTGTTTATTTTCTTAATTAGCGCAACCGGCTGCAGGCCAAAGCGCAAGTATGAGCGCTGTACAATTCTGTCATTTACTAGCCATTCTTCCTTTTAAAAGTCACAGGAATACTCTAGAACCCCTGCACATGGGACAAGGAAGGGCTCAAACGATGGGGACTAAGTGGATGAATGTGTAAATGCAGAAGCAACAAAACTAGGTTTCTATGTAAGTTCTTCGTAAAAGTCAGACTTTTTCACTAACATGATGTGTCTTCTGTCCCAATTACTTAAAACCAGTGAGCTTTGAGTGTACCTCAGTATTCCTGACAGGAAAAACTTTCAAGTACTTCCAGGACTTTGGAGTTGCACACAGAACTCGCTGCTTGCTAAAAGGTCTCCTGCAAGATCCACTGAGGCAGAACGGCTGTGCCGTCTTGGCCCTCTGAACTCTGGCATGCTCCCCAGGGCCAACCTCTCCCCTTCCTGATGCAGCGCAGCTTGAGGGAGGACCCACGTGGTCCTTCAGAGGGTGAATGGCAGCACTGAGCTGCAGGGGGGCAGGTGAAGGGGGCTGGGGGACCCGGTCTTCCTCCTGCAGGCAGCTTGACACCCAGTATGACTTATTCTATCTGGGAATCTCTGAGGCGTGGCTGGAAAATCTACTTTAAGGGGGAAAAGAGAGAGCCCTGTCCCTTCCCTTCAGCTCTTCCACCCAAGCGTTTGTCTTTGCTCGTTGCCTCTACTGAGTCCCAAGTCCCTGCTGCAGTCCCTGGGCCCTGTCGGCCTCTCCAGGTACCTGGCAGGTTTTACCAGACAGGATGGGCAGCCAGGCTGCAGCCCCCGATCTCACTCTTCTAGTGCCAATCAGCTCAGCAGGCCAGGCTTAGTGAGCTGAGCAGGAAGGACCTCCACAACCCCTCAAGGCCAGTTCCCAGCAGGCATTCCTTGGGGGCACTGTTGATGTTTTAACCCATTGTGGCTCGATGCTGGTTCATGCCTGGCTTCCCACCTGCTTAGATGACAGGGTAGTTTTCCTGTTGTACTTTTTTTGTGTGAATGGGTCTAAACGGAGGACTCCATGTGGTCCTTCTTCTTTAAGCCTTCGAAACGCAACACTCAAAGGATCACTGGTCCAAACCCTTGCAAAAGGCTGAGACATGGGATCATGGGGCAGTGAATGATTTCATCTGGGTCACAGAGTAGGCAGCCACTGAATGGCAACCAGATTCCCTGACCCTCAATTAGCCTCACCCACCACACCACACTCAAGAGAGCGGTCCTTTCTTTCTGTAAGCCTCGGTTCCAGCGAAGCACTCCTCGGTCTTGGCCCAGGTGGGGGTGTCCACTCCTGCCTGCCTGCTCTTGTCTGTCCTGGAGCCCCCAGGGCTTACAAGGGGCCCTTCTGTTTCACTTCCCACCCTCCTGCTGGAGTCTGGAACCCAGGAGGCTGCCCTCTTCTGGAGTGGGTGGGGAAGGGCCTGAGAGCAGATTTTTCCCTCTGCACGTCCCCTGCAACAAATCAATGTCATTACCTGTCGAGAGAGAGCTTCGATTTCTCGTAACTCTTCTCTGCTTGAGATGCCCACTCACAACTATAGTCGTCCATCTTTTTTTCAAATGTTTCTGACACCGATGCAAAGTAGATGTCTGGGCGCCACACAGACAGGCTGGGGTCAGGACAAGGGGCCGCCTTCTTCTGGTACTTCCTTCGGCTCTGCTCATCTAACTCCTCCCACATCCTCAAAATCTGAAAGGAAGGGCGGGCCTCAGCCACACCGGACGACCCCAGGCAATGGCGTCTTTTCCTGGGACATCCAGCAGGCAAGGGAGGATCGAAGGCATTGGCTTCAGATGAGATGTGGGGAAGACATGGAATCCTGATTGCAAGGAGAAAACCAGCTCCACATTTAAAACAGGGAGAAGCCAAAGCCGTCCTGGGGCGCACTGCCTGACTGTGACTCTGAGCTCTTCGTCCCACTCAAGCACAGGCAGGGTGACCAGGTCGAGTAAAACGGGGCACTGTTAATAATAATGCTACGACAGGAGGCGAAGCCAGGACTGTTCTAGGCCAACCAGGTCAGTCGCCGTGAACCAGGTGACTGGTAGATCCCTGTCTGCCCCTATCCAGGCTGTCACACACCCTGTGCCCCAAAACTGTCCCATAGTAGCGGCTTCAAAGTGCTCTCCTGCCTCTCAGCTCCCAGCTGTGTTTGTCTAATGGGAAGCCCCGGCAGCAGAGGGGAAGGTGAGGGAGTGAAGCCCTGCATTGACACCCCCCCAAGGAGCCTCTGAGTAGGCCACACGCCTCCAGTGAGGGCTCCTGTCCAGTGGCCTCTGCCCACAGCGACCTCCCTCTTCCTTCATGCCTGGGGTGGTGAGAAACCAGTTACCAGCCCATTAGTTTCCTCAAATCCTGCCCACGCCCTTGTAGAGTCCCCTCCTTAAACTGCCATTTAAGGAACGCCATGTGTTTCCTGACAGATTTCATTATTCCTTTTATTAGGAAAACAACCCCTCATTCCCTCACCCCCTGACTGAGGCCTGTATGCGCCAGGCACTGGGGATATAGACCCCCCCACCCTCCACCCCAACTCACCTGGTGAGTCCCAGGGCTGCGGCCGTGCTGGCTGGTGTCCTGGAGGTTCAAGGCCTTCACAGCTGCCTGAACTTTCTGGGAATAACTCAAGAAGGCACCCTTCCTTGGCAAAGCGTTAGAATGCTTGCTCTGCCATTTTTTGATGCCTCTGAAGTGGCGAAGAGCTTTTTGGGGATCTGCTCTGGATAAAACTTCATGGAGATGCTTCGATTTCATTATTACCTAAACAAATAAACACACCACACACAAGACCAAAGAGATGAGGGCATGACCCAAGGGCCATGTTACACAACTTCACGGGACCAAGATAGCCTGTAGGGAGCTGTCATGACACCTCTCAGAGGGGCTGAGCACCCGAAACTCATCGGGGATTCACTTTGTGCAAACCAGACTTGGGAGCTGCTGGTCCCAGGGGCTGAGGGGAATATGGGAGAGAGAACGGCACACTCACAGCCCCTTCAGAACACAGGGGAGTTTCTAGGGAGAAAGGAGTGACGACCAAAGCTCAGGGCCAGGGGCCAGGATGGAAAGGAGCCAGCACCAACGACAACCTTCAACTCGGCCATCTGCTGTGTGACCTTGGATAGGTCACATCAGTGGCGGCAAAATGGGGTGACTGCTCGGTCAGCGGTGATGGTCATTTCAGGGGCAGTGCGGTATGGCATGAAAACCATGAGCTTGTGCGTCACAGGCCTGGGTTCAGATGCTGGCTCTGCCAGTCACCAGCTAGTCACTGGAGCCCTGATTCTCAGCTACCTCAGCTGTGCAATGGGCAGAGGAAGGAAAGCCTCCCTCCCCAGGCTGCAGTGAGCATGAGAACAGACAGAGCCTACAATGTGCTGAGTTAGGGCCCCCGCACAGGGCAGGTGCCCCCAAACAGCAGCTGCTGCTCTAGCCGTGTTTGTGCCTTTCTGCCATCTCGAAGTCCACGAAGGGGATATAAAAATTGCAAGTGTTTCACGGTATCAACTGGTGCTTTATCAACTCTTCCCACTCCGCTTTTCAGTGGCCACTATGACTGGATGGCAAAGTTTGGGGTGCAAGGCCCACCGCATAGCCCCAGGCCCACCACCCCAGAATGCTGGGCGTCTGGCACCGACCTCGTAGTTGCTGGCGAGGAAGGGGAACTGCTTGGGCTGCAGGAACTGCGTCTTGGGGACGTCCAGGCCGTCCTCCCCGTACAGGAACTGCACCACACTGCCGTCGCTGTCGCGAACGGTGAGATCATACTGGACGACCAGCCCCTCCAGGTGCTTGATGATGCACCTGCATGGAGACCTGGCTCAGGGCCCACGCTCTTCACCTCCCAGGGCAGCCTCTGATGGGGGCCGGGGACGGAGGAGGGAGGAGGTGGGAGGTAGAAAGGAGACTGCTGTCCTGCAGCCAAGCTAGGCTCCAGGACAGGCTGGCTCCAAGGCCCCAGGCTCTGAGCTATAGCATCTCCCAGCCAAGGGCTGCAACTGTGTGCCCGAGAGATTGGCTCCCACTGCTGGACCCTGGCTTCCATCTCCAGCCCCAGCTACTGGGACTACTCCCTGCCTTTCACTCCGCTGCATTGCAGAGCTCCACAGGGACCAGTGTCCTTGGATCCACAAGGTAGGCAAAGCGGTGGGGTCGTCTCCCCACCCAATGCTTCTCCAACGCTGTCAGTCCAGAGATTGTTGGGGACACTAGGGACCAAATGCTGATGTGATATCCCTAATCTGGTACCCTTTTCCTTTGGTCCTCCCCGTCGTCAGCTGCCTCCCTCAACCTTGCCCCCGCCACTGCTGCCCTATTGCTGGCCCCTTACCTTATCTCTGGCTACTCTGCCTCAGTTTCTCCTCCTGCCACTTTAAGAGAAGGTTTCCTAGGAGCCACTGTTCCCCAAGCTCCAAAGACAGAGCTCAGTGTTAGTCACCACTGTCTCCTCCTTGGCACCTAGCCCAGGGCCTGGCAAGGCTGGTGCTGAGCACCCACTTCCCCTGGGCTGAAAATGCCGATGTGTCAGTCATCAGCCCTCTGCTCCGCTCTGCTTATCTCACAGGGCTCCAGCTATCCACACAGCAACAGCCCCTCCAGGCTGCATACCCAGGCCTCTCCCAAGCTTCAGGCCTCATTTCTAAGGGTCCACTGAACGTGTCTCCTTAAACATCCTGCTGCTGCCACCTCATGCCTCCCACAAGTTCTCTCCTCTCTGTAGCATCTTGCTTTCTGTCAACTGTGTCACTGTGCTGCCACTCAGGCCAGAAAAGTCAGCTGGGTCTCATGCCTCCCTGCCTCTCATTCCTGCATTTCAGCCAATTATCCCGTGTCTCTGCCACATCTGCTTCTTCCTTCCCATTGCCACCCGCTGGAGGCAGCCTTCCAACCTCTGGCCTGGACCTCCGCCACAGGCACACGGGCTTCCTCCAATCCATCCTGTCTGAAGTGCTGTGCTTGCCCTCTCCACCATGAACCTCCATCGGCAGGGGGATCCCACAGGTGTCTGGGCCTTCTGTCCCACTGGCTGCTGCTTTTCCATTCCAGTTAGGATCCGGGCACCCTCCTCCTGCCCACCCTGCATTCAAATGGCCTCGGATACCCCTGCCTCACACATGGATTCCCCACCCACAGACTCAGCTGATCATGTGTGTCCTAACTTTTTTTACATTGCACATGTATTCTTGATTGATTTAAAACGACAGAGGTGGGGTGTCACCTCTGCTCATGGGAAGAATTGGCCGTGTGATCCATGCCCCCGAAAGGGGAGCTCATCTCCCTGTACTGAGAGCAGCCAGCTCTGCAGACGGGCTCCTCATGGACTGGCCACTCAGGTGTGTCTCCACCCTAACCCCATGGGCTGCAGCTTTGGGAGTCAAAGGGAAGGGACCAAAATGAGGGCTGCGGCTTTGGGGAATCGAGCTCAGAAGCAGGAGAAAGGACAAAGGTGGAGCAGACAGGCAGACCTGTGAGGGGGAGAAAGAAAGCGGCTCTGCCTCCCTCTCGGGCAGTCAGCTGGGTTCCCTGAGAGCATAACCTAAAACTGGGGCTGCAAGGCATGGGGGTTTATTTTTGCTGTCTCCTCCATTTCCCACCACCATTTCTACCAGCACCGGTTCTCTGGGCTCACAAAGAGCCATTATCATAAAGTCCCCACGGCAGAGCTGCCCGTGCTGCACCCCAGGGGAGGAAGGCTGGAGCACAGGGGTCTGCCACCCCGTCCTGCCGGGCACCCTGGAGTCAGACCTTGTTCAGATTTAAGCTTCATTCCCCCCACCTGCTCAAAAAGGCCAGTGAGAGTGGCTACTTGTATTCTTTCTTTCCAGAGGTGAGAGCAAACAAGCAGGTCTAGGCTGGGGAACCCGAGTGACACCTGTACCCGGAGAAACAGTAACTCCCACTACAGACTCACAGGCAGGGACCCTGGGCTATTGTCCTGGCCTACTGAGCCCTCCTAGCAAGGAGGACCAGCTTGTCACTACCATGACCTTTCCCCGTATCCATAACTTCCCTCAGGAAATGGCATACCCTCAGAACACAGGGGCCCTTTGTTTAAACCTCTGAGCTCATGCGCTACCAATCCTTTAGAAAGGGGAAGAATGTCTGCTATTTTCTGTCTCAGGCTAGCCACGGACATTTTAAAGTTTTTTTCATCCCAAGAAATCCCAAGTGAATCATCACCAGAAATATGAAAGATGACCGAGGTGAATGGCACTGGGCACCGATTCCATCCAAAGGCGGCAGAGCGGGGGCTTTTTACCTTTGGAGGTAGCCGGAGCGGCTGGTTTTCACAGCAGTGTCGACCAGACCCTCTCGCCCTGCCATGCAGTGAAAGAAGAACTCCTGTGGGAGAAGCGGGACCAGGTCCCGGGGGTGGCAGTGAGGACAGCGTGCTTCCGGAAGAGCAGCTCAGGCCCATGCCTCCGGCAGCCCCGCCTGACCTCCTAGGGCCCTTGATGGCTCCCATGGCCCCAGTGACCTCGCCCTCCCCTGTGGAGGCCATTGTCTTATCCTGCCAGAGAGCAGGGGGGCAAGTGGATGAGAAGGAACAGCTCCTGTTTTAGGAGCCAGGTGTGCCCCCAGCATCTGTGCATTCCATCCTCAGTATTATACCCCACACCCCATTTTCCAAACAGAAACGGCCCTCAGGCCTCAGCACTGTTCGGTTCAGCCCGCACCTCTGAACTCTGCTTCTGATGGTGTTAACAGGAGTAAGGTGTGTTTTCCAAACTTTCTGACTGCAACCCACAGTGAGAAATACATTTCCAACTGTAATCAGCAAGCACACGTGTCCACACATGCACATAAAGATACGTGACTCCAACTAGAACTTCATGAAACTATGCCATCCCTTACTCTATGCTCTCCGTACCGTCCTGTTGTTTCATTCCATAAAGAAATGCCAGCCACTATCTATTACAATGATTTCATGACTCAATGAGGGGTTGCCACGAGTTTAAAAGATTCTGTCTATCTCAGCGCTCCACCATCCTTTGCCAGAGGCCATGGATGAACACTGGAGTCTATGGGGACGAACGGAGGAGCCCCTGGCGCAGTCACTCGGTGGCCTTGAAATGAAGCGTCGGTCCTGTTCACAGTCTGGATTTGGTGGTCTGACCATGAGGGTCATCCTTGCAGGGATGCATCAGACCAGGGAACAAACGGTGCTAACATTCAAAAAGCCATTTCTGACAAGTGTGAGAAAACTCTTCGCTTAGGGGAGAATTCTGTTGTTGACCAAGGGAAATCAGACCTTTCCTATAGCTGGTCAGTCCTACAATGAAGGAGGCGGCTGGGAGGTTCTCTTGGGGGCCTTTGTGAAACAAATCTCTGTGATGCTCCCTTTGGTAATGGAGAGCACCCTGGTGAGGGGCCTCTCCTTCCCCTGCTGCCTTCAAATGCAGGTAAGAAGTGGCTGAGTGAGGGCACCCAGCAGGAAAACGTGGAGCTGGGACTAGTCTTATTCCTGTTTTCATTGATCAGCAAACACTTACTGAGCCCCTGGCATGCGCCAGGTACTGTGTGAGGCTCTGGCATCACAACGGTGGACATGACACGCTCACGTCCTTATGGTCCTCATGGGCCACAGGGTGTAGTGGATAAGCAGCAGGTGGCTTGGCATTTATTACTTGATTGTCCTTGCTCAAAGTTGTTGGGAATGGTCAAAGGCTTTCTACCGCTGAGCCTAGAAGTGAGGTGAAAGGCCAAAAGGAAAAACCAAAATACATACAGGAGGCTTGATGCCAGTGAGGAATCTGCCAGTGACGAAGCCGCCAGACCTGGGGGTGAATTCATAAGGCTCGAAGCAGGGCAGTGACTTGCCAGATGCCATTAGAGGGGGTCTCAGACCTTCCAATTCAATCTGGCCCAGCAGGCACGAGATCTGGTGGAAAGGAAACCCAACGAAAACCCAAGATCGACATGTGTGTTAACCAACGGTTTGTCCTAGCAGAGAAGGTAGGGCCTGCTCTTCAAGAAAAGCTGCATGGAAACTGAGTTCTAAAGGCCAAACTATATTTGTCAATGAATCGGGGAAGCTTGTGTCTTAAGAAAATAACTGTGTTTCCCTTTTGTTGATCGATGGAGATTTTTCACATTTGGTGTCAGCTGTAAATGGGCTATAAAAGAAGCCATGTTTCAGAATCATCATGTTATACCTGGAGGGGAACTGAGGGCTGGTCCTAATGGGGAGACTGAGGCCTGCAGGAAGAAGTATTTATGTAATCCTTAAATTCTAAGGGCAAAAGAGAATAATGCTGCCTATTAATATTTCTGGGGGAAGAGAGGTAGGACAGTATATCTGGGTTTCACTTTAGTCAAGAGGGCTTCCTGATGGCCTTCAGCCTTTTAAGCCCATTCCTTTTACTCTAGCCTCACCAATCAATGAGGTGGTCCTTAAGACCCTCTCAAGGTCACCAAGTTTAAAAAAAGTGAAGATCTGTGAAAATGTTGCCATAGTGCTGCAGTAATATGAGATAGTGGGTCTCAAAGTAAGGATTAGAAACCTCTAGGATGATACTTATAATGTAAAACTAAATGAAAAAAGCAGAACATGCAAAATTGCAGGGTTTCAGCTAAGATTATATATACACACACATATGTGTTCGTATACAATGTGAATATGACGGGGGTGCCAAAAATATGTATACACATTTTAAGCGATGTTAACACTTTGGTCAATGTTGCTCAAGCAGTAGTTTGCTGTAATCAGAAGTGTCTGGACGCTGACGGTAACCACTTTGAGCATCTCTTGTAATTGCAGAAGTCAAACGTGACTCATATTCATCTTTTGTTATCAGTATATATTGAGTACTACAGTTTTCATTTCCTAAAATGTGTATATATATTTTTAGCACCCTCTGTATGTAATATGATAATACAGTGTGCAAATTTACAATATCTATCTGTATTATATATCAATATCTAGATATCTGTATCTGTATTTGTTTATAATATTGACGTGTTAACAGTGGTTAGCTCCTGTATTGATTTCTACATGCTTTTATATTTTTCAGTACTTGCTCCACTTTATATGGAATGTGGATCCTTTAAAACTCAAGAAACAAATCGGAAAACTCCCTCCCGCCATCACCCCACCCCCCGGCAAATCGGCCAGCCTGCCTTTGCTCACACCTGCATGGTGTTCACGGTTGACCCTTTGGAGCCAGACTGCACCATCATCTGCAAGTTGTTCTCTGGGAACTGTCTGTGCAGGCCAAAAGGCATGCATGCCTGGAGATTAAACATACTGGTCAGTAACATCACCCTCTTCTGAAGTCCCAAGCGACAAACTCAGACTATTCAGAGATAAGTGCCAAACCCCACTTGAGGTAAGGAAAAGTCTCATTTGACATCAACACTCTTGTTAGAACCCCTAGAGAGAAGTCTAATCAACGGCCCCGTGTGCTGCTCTTGACACCCTGTCAGGAAGCCCGAGGTTCCTGTCACTGGCAACCAGCAGCAAAAAGGGGGAAGCCGAGGGGCCAGCATACGCAGTTTGTGATTCTAAAAAGAAGCTGGTTAAAAATAAAATTTAAGGCGATGCCCTTGTGAATTCCCGCAGCAGAGCATGGCCTTGGCTCCCCAAACACCTGGCAATGATAACCAATGTTCCTATCATATTCACCTTTACCAACACACTGCCTGAGTACCACGTAGGAGCCTCATCTCAGCTCCAGAGCCAGTGCAAGCAAGCCAAGCCCCAAGCCAAGCCTGGGGAGATGCTGGGAGGGGGCTGAGTCTATTTAAGCCTCTGCCTAGGGTTGCAGAGATCCACCCCAACATGGAACAGGCACAGTGGGTGGGAAGAGGTGGTGAAAAGACGGGAGCTGATAGCCGGCCGAGTGGCGCATTGGTTAAGAACTGGCTTGGGATGCCAGAGGGCCCCGGTTCGGATCCCACATATGAGGGCCAGTGACACTGCCCTCCACAGCTAAGATGCTAAACAACAGCTCAACCTGGAGCTGGGCTGCCGTGAGTCGCCAGCGATGGCGTAGGCTGCAGCCCCTGCTGCAGTGGGTTGCCATGGGCTACTGTGTGTAGCCAGCAGCCAGCGTGAGCGGCCAGCAGCTGCCGTGAGCGGCCGTCCAGAAGCCGGCGACTGATCTGCCTCATCCGGGAAGAGCGCAATGATGGTGCCAACTTGGGCCAGTGAAGCAATGTCCTCTACAAGTAGACTGAATAACAAAAAGGACAGCAACTTGTCTGTTCCCCTTCCCCCAATTCCCCAGCGCTGTTCCCTTCCCCCAATTCCCTAATAAAAACCTTAAAAAAAAAAAAAAGGGAGCTGAAAGGATAAGAAGCGATGCTGAGATGCCTCTGGGACAACCCTCCCACCCCAGCATTCCCAGGCAACCCTGGAAGCCAAGCCCGGTTCTTAGGGCGGTGTTGGGAAGGTTTCTCTGAACAAACCCTCTTAAGGATGACCTTGTACCAGTGAGAGGTCTGTGTTCATGACAGCCTAGCTGCTGAAAACCAGTCAAGAACACACCACACACAAACACTGGCTTCTCCTGTGTTGGCCTTCCCTCTTCCTCTCCTCCTCAGGCTGGACCTCGAAGTCCAGGAGGCAGGGTGACGGTCAACCTGGCTACTTCAGACCGCAGGACTGGGAGCCCCAGCTCTGGGACTAGAAGGTGGACAGAATCAGGCTGTGGTCTGGGCTGGCGCAGGGATTGCCCTCTCCTTTCTGAACTGCACTGGAACTGGCGTGGTGGAAAAGCAGACAGGGGTGGTGGAGGGCTTCCACCGTGCCTCTGCCATGTCAAGAGCACTGTGTGGGTTAGGTCCTCAGTCCTCTCAGCACCCCGATGGGGTAGGTGCTCCTCACATCCCTATCTCCAGGTGAGGAAACCAAGGCACAGACTGTGCCACTTGCCCGAGGTCACACAGCAAGGTCATGGCAGAGCTAGGATTTAAACCCAGGCCTTCACCCCTGGCTCTGCTACATAGGCAGCAATGGTGTTTTGTTTCTTTCACTCTGTTCCTCCACCCGGCAGTGGCACCATAGGAAAGATTTTCTTTCTTCAATCCCCTTTAATGTAGTCACCCCAAAATATGAACATTTCAAAAGAAAAAAAGTGCAAAGCATTCCCTCCCAGTTTAAGCGAAGAGCTTTCCGGACCCTAACTGGGTGAGGGAATGGAGACATTTGCTCTCTAAATGGTTAATTTTGCACGGCTCACCTCACATCTCACCTAGTCAGCTGTTAAACAGCCAAACTGCTCCAAAGGGCCCCAAATGAGCATCAAAATGTAATTTTTTTAAAAACCAGCATTCAAAATGGTGGTGATAAGTGTGCTCACTGCCAGACTAACCTTGTTAATCTCATTACTGTAATGGTTCACTTCCTCCTTGAACTTGAGATCGATCATGTTAAAATCCCTCTGGTCTTTGCTCAGATGGGCATCCTGCCATTTCCCTCGGATCTCATCATATGACGCCGTTTCTGGCAGGTTTAACGCAGCCCTGACAGCCTAGAATGAGAAGAGAAGCACGTCGGAGGCAGCAGCCAAGTGAGGAGGGTGTGGGTTTCGTTCTGTAGGAAAGCCGGTCAACCCTCTGCGGCAAGCTGTCGCCTCCCAGGCCCTCCTTACCCGGGACCCGCAGTGGATGGACTCGTCAATGATCCTGTGTCTCTTGACATCCGCCTCTGGCTTAACCAAAATATCTTCCACGCCTGTGAAGTAAAATAAACAAGGTCAGATGGGGCAGGGTCTGACTTCTAGCAGGATATAAACTCAGTGAGGTGAGGGCATGGAGCACAGTGTCACATACCCAGGGAGCAACTACAATAATATAAAATGCTGATATTAATATCCCGAAGAGATTGCTACCATCTCTTAAGTATTTCCCATTTCTTAAGGAAGTATAAGGCCAAACATTATACTCTCCATTTTACAAATGACAAAGCTAAGGATCAAACTTGAGCTACTTGTCCAAGGTGACATAGGTTAAAAGCAAACCCAGGCCCCAAACCCAAATTTGTGCTCTTAGGCACCAGCTCTGTTGCCCCTACTCAGTAAACATGTGGGATGAATGGGCTAGAGGTGAAGAGGTTTGGGATGAAAAACTAAGTTTAGGAAAAGAAGAGAGGAAGGGAGAGACCATCCCGATTTTGATTCCCAGAAGTCACTTGTCACAGGGACCACCCCACATACTGAGAACGGATGTGTAGTCACACACACAGACACACTCGACCCTGGGTGACAGGGACCACCACTGCAGGTTCCTCCCCAGAATGAGAGTCTGGGTCACGTTCAGTTAAGCCTGTCCTTCTGGCTCCACAGGGTTGAGGAATTCCTCACCGTGGGCAGGACGTCTTTCCACTTCATCTTTCAATCAATCATTTTCTATCTAGACTGTGAATGCTCCTGGAGTCAAAAGTCTATCAGCCAAGATGTGAGTGGGAAGGAAAACAATGGCTGCACTATTCAAAACCTGGGCTAAAATATCTGCAACACCCAATGCAATGTCCTGGAAGCTTGAGGGACTCTAAAGACTATGTGTGTGTGGGAGGGGAAAGAAATATTGTCTCTGTGAGGAGGGAGCTATAAACACAATGGTGGGTCCTCCCACGGGGTCAGCTCCAGGCCACCTGGTTGTCCCTTCACTGACCGCACTGGCTATGAGGCCTGGAGTGAAGGCAACATCTCTAGCCTGCTCTTCCCTCAGAGCCTTATGTCCAGCCTGGCCCTGTGCCCTCTCTCAGCCTGGCGGCATCAAGATGCTCTTTGCACTCAGGGGCCAATTTCTCTTTGTACCATGTGCTAAACAGAGCTGACAGCATGGCTTGTTTGTTAAGTTTGGTACTCATCATGATCTGGGTGGGGATCTTCCTCTACTTCTTATTGTTTACAGATATTTGGTCAAGGGTGTTCATCCCAGCAATAAAGTGAAAACCATGAAACAGCCTACATGCCTATTCATAGGAACTGGTTAAATATAGTACATCTACACAACTGGAATAATACGTAGCCACAGACCTGAGGATATAGATTTGTATTAGTTCACGCAAAAGGACATTTACAAATACTTTGGAAATGGGGGGAAAGATTACAAAACGACATGTAGTGTAGGATCCCATTTTTTCTAAATGTGTTTGTGGTTATCTCTGGTAACTTAATGTTGGATAATTTAAAATTATTTTCATGTCTGTATTTATTTAGACTTTTCCACAATTAACATACCAGAGGTGCCAAAAAAAATGTATACAAGTGGACACCGGTCAATGTTGCTCAAGCAGTAGTTCGCCATAATCAGAAGTGTCTGGACGCTGATGGTAACCACTTTGAGCACCTCTTGTAATTGCAGAAGTCAAACGTGACTTGTATTC